TGTCGGCTCCGGCCCCCTGCTCGGCCGGCCGGCCTCAGCGGGACCTGCCCTTGGGGCAGAGAGGCCTGAGGGAAGAGGGGACCTTGCCAGGTGCCTGCCCCGGCTAGGCTGCCGAGGAGGGCGGTGGCTGGCACGGCGGAAGGGAAATTAATCCGTTTCTGTGGGCTTGTTGGCAATGACAAGGACAAGCACCCGGCGCCCTTGTAAGTGGCCCTTCGTGCTCGATGGAGGCCTGGTGGCCACTAGCTTCGGCGCGCAAGTGGGGTGAGGCGTGGGACGGCTGGTGGTAATGACAACGCTCTCATTTCAGTCTGTAGGTGTGCTTCCTAATGGGAAAAAATCCTTCTAAAGTGCTTTTAAAATTTGTTATATGTTCTGAAGTCAATACACAGCATCGCAGTCTGTGAAACTGGAAATTCAGAAGCTGAAAAGCATTTATAGAACAAAGAGGTGGATAGCACCTGGAAAGAAGTTGCCTTCCCATTTATCTCCACCATGGGTGTCTGTCTCCCACTCTTCTCAGTATAAGTCTATGCGTATTTGCGTGCATGTAAAGGTTCTGCATAATGTCATGTTCCCCAAGCAAAGGGCGAGATCCTGCTTTTCAGAGGCAGTTGTGACTTTCCAGATTCTTGGGAAGGTTGGTCAGTAAAGATCAACTTTGAATTTTCCTTTTCAGGTTATATATAAATATATATGTATGTATATTTTTAATAAATAGCTCTTGTAATAAGTTTTGTTACATGTAGCTTGTCCCTGATACCTTGTGTAAATTACAACTTTGTTATACTGGAGTTGCTGTACAAGGTAGTAATTTACATGGCCAACCCCACAATTGTACAGCTGCATCAACCTACATCTGTTCTTGGTTGAGAGAAGTAGCATTTACATGGTGGATATACATGACTATAGAGATCAGGTAGAATAGGAAAGAGACTTTAGTGCATATACTGGATTTTTTGACTGTGCTGCCTTAGCTAGGGAAAAACCAGTATGGTTTTTAGAGTCTTTGTTGAGAGAAAAGTGTTGTAAAAATGTGTGTAAAATATCTGGACTTGGACTTGTAAACTGTGTTATAGGTATAGAGTAGGGAGGGTGTTGTTTATTTTCTAATTGCTACAAATATCATAAACAGGAATGCTAAAGTAGTTACAGTGATGTAAATGTTCTTTACAGGAAGTATATATAGAAGCAGATAGGAAGAAGGCATCATGCTGACGTCCTGTCCCAGAAAATTTATTTTGTACCTATTCTTGGGACAGTAAAATTCAGTTTTGCTTGTACTGCTGAGAAGTCTTGGATGTACAGTGGCCCGAGTAAACCATATGGTCATGACTTCCTGGAAGAGAACCTAATACACACTGTCCCAATTACAGCTGTTCGTGAAATGTAAGAGCAATATTAGATATCAGAGTTTCTGGTTCCTAATCTTCGTCTGGAGTAAGTGCATTGTCTATTGGCCAGAGCGATGATCAGCTAGACTAGCCAAAAGCTTAGGTTTTATATATTTATATTTATTCTCAAATGTTACAAATGGAAATAGGGAAGCTGGTTTTATTCCTAGGATTATGTGATTTGTGCAATTTCTGTATTTTTGCTTTGGAGTGGGAGGGATATGCTAGTTGCCTGCCATTTAGGATAAAGCTATGAGGTCATGATGAGTAATAAAGGCTGTGAACAATACTTACCTGAAGAAATGTAACCGGAACCCAGGATCGCTTGGCTACCATTTGAGGCTGAAGAACAGTCTGTGACAAAGGTGGCTGCTTTGCTCTACCACTGGCACAGGGAAGGATGACAAGACTGGACAAAACTTGAATATCAGGTCAAATAGTGAACGCTTGGTAGGTTTGGACATCTTTTTTTTTCTTCTTCTTTTTTTTCCAAACATGAAATATAAAAACATAATAGGATACATAAAAACATGATAGTACAAGGGGGAATGGCTTTAAACTAAAGGGGGGTAGATTTAGACTAGATATAAGGAAGAAATTTTTTACGCTGAGAGTGGTGAAACACTGGAACAGGTTACCCAGAGAGGTGGTGGATGCCCCATCCCTGGAAACATTCACGGTCAGGTTGGACGGGGCTCTGAGCAACCTGATCTAGTTGAAGATGTCCCTGCTCATTGCAGGGGGGGTTGGACTAGTCGACCTTTGAAGATCCCTTCCAACCCAAACTGTTCTATGATTCTATAATGGCAGACCTCTTAACATCCCATAAATAGCTTAAAGATCCTGAAATTTAAAAACTGATTTGTGCCTTTTTATTGTTGAGGAGTTTGTTGGACAGCTTGGGGTATGTGTTCTCCATTTGTCTGCTCTTCTCAGAATCAAAGTGTGATCCTAAAATACATATATAACCAACTGTTTCTAAATTTGAGAAAAAACTCCTTATTCCCTGACAGAGCAAGAGTTGTCATTCCATCTTCATCTCTTCCCCTTAACAAGACCGGATATGCAGCTGCTCTATTCAAATGCTTGCTTTATTCTCCCCAACAATCTCTTCCTTTAATTCACTCTCATCCCCTTTTTTTCTTCATTTTCTTTCCACTTTTTATTCTTTATGCTTCCTTCTTTGCATTGGCAATTTCCACTATGAATCTCAGGTTGCTTCTTGCAGTTTTTTCATTTTTTAAACCATTGCTTCCCATAGCATCCCTTAATAGAGTTATCTTTGTTCCTTCCTTCTGTCTCCATGATGTTCATTGCACTGTCTCACTCTGTCCTCTCTTACCTTCACCTGGTAGTAGCTGCATTTGAGCCCAGAAAGAACTCTCCCCAAAACAGACTCACTTTCGTCAATGCAAAGTGAGGGAAAACGATTGCTACTAATTGAGATTCGACTGAGTTCAGCCTCACTGATACTAACTGGAGATGGCAGCCATTTTGAATTAAATAAAACTGCACATTTGAAGGCAAGTACAGAACTTAATGAAAATCACCAAAACCAATATAGGTTATTTAGGGCTTCAATTTGAGCCCTAAATTTGGCTATCAGATTTATGTCAAAAGATCAACTTTTAAAACACTAAATTGATAACAAATTTATACAGATTTAAGCTTAATAAAGAAGTTGACAAGCAATTACTGTAAGAATAATATGGAGGTATATTAAATATTTATCTGACCATTTCAGCAAGGCCTGAAAAAGAGGCCGAATAATGAAGGAGTAGTATCTTAATACATTTCTTTTGATTTGACAACATTAAGACTGTTGGAATTATTCACTGTTTTCAACAAAACTAAGTAACCTGGCAATATGAAAGTATTCTATTTTGGCAAAGCTACATTTTAACTGCTATGATAGTAATATGTAAAATTAAATTACAAGATCAGTTAGGCCTTTTTAATGTACTTGATTCCATATTTAAAGAGACAAGGAGCCCTCAAGCTAAAATGAAACAAATCTGAACTGAGAAAAATGTTTCTACAATAAAACTCATTTTTTTCAGTAGCATAATGCTTCATTTTAACCTTCAAGCTAGTTGGAATATTCACTTTCTGGCAAAAAGATTAGGTTTGTTAGTCATAGTAGGGTTAAATTGCTTCATAATGAATTTCATAAAATAAAAATACACTCAATACAATGTTAATTGAATTAGCTAGGCTTATTTGGGCCTTTCTTACATTTGTTTCTTTGGAACTGGCCCAGGTCAAGTAATTCAGATACCAGATTGAACTAAGCTCTTGTGTTCTGATACAGCTGTTGTTATTATCTTTTAACTTCCAGTTACGAAAGAGTTGGCTGGTAGAAACAAACAATGTTTTTCTTCTAATGGCTAGTTGATCAAAAACTGTCTTTACATCCTGATTTTCTTTGGTTCTGGAGTGCTTCTCCATTTGTGAATATCGTAATGAGCACTCTCCTTATGTTAATAATTGATCTACAAAGTGAAGCTGTCTTCTGGGAAGGACTGACAGCAAGGGCGCGGCCCCTTACATATGAATCCTCAAATCATCTGAAAAGCAATAACCCAGAAGTAAATAGGGACATAAAGGAGGGGTATAGAACGCCTAGAGCCAGCCCTGTGCTAGCTGGGATATTTCCACAAATGAGGTATTTTCAACTGCTGTAAGAAAGCAGTTTTCCTGCCCTTAATGATTCAGAGTAGCAC